GACGTCACGAGTGATCACTCTTGGAAGCTGAGCCATGAGTAATTTTGAAAATTACTCATGAAATATTTTTCCTTCATGAGTAAATCACTCGTGAAAAATGTTATCTCCATGAGTAAATTACTCATGAAAAATTTTAACGCCATGAGTAATTTTGAAAAAAAAAATGTTTTTATTTTATTTAACCCAATTTTTTTTTCACCTTTCCGATTTATTCAATATCGGGGTCGACATATAGGTTTTGGGGGGCGCTTTTTATGGAAATGTTATCCAATTTGAGATTGGGCCCCCCGGGCCTCGACTTTTTTTAACTTTTGGGATTAAATCGATATCAGGGTCGACTTATAGGTTTCGGGGGGCGCTTTTTATGAAAATTATATCCAATTTGAGATTGGACCCCCCGCCCCGTTTTTTTTTAACTTTTGGGATTAAATCGATATCAGGGTCGACTTATAGGTTTCGGGGGGCGCTTTTTATGAAAATGATATCCAATTTGAGATTGGACCCCCCGCCCCGTTTTTTTTTAACTTTTGGGATTAAATCGATATCAGGGTCGACTTATAGGTTTTGGGGGGCGCTTTTTATGTAAATGATATCCAATTTGAGATTGGGACCCCCCGGCCCCGACTTTTTTTAACTTTTGGGATTAAATCGATATCAGGGTCGACTTATAGGTTTTGGGGGGCGCTTTTTATGAAAATGATATCCAATTTGAGATTGGAGCCCCCCGCCCCCGTTTTTTTTTAACTTTTGGGATTAAATCGATATCAGGGTCGACTTATAGGTTTCGGGGGGCGCTTTTTATGAAAATGATATCCAATTTGAGATTGGACCCCCCCGCCCCCGTTTTTTTTTAACTTTTGGGATTAAATCGATATCAGGGTCGACTTATAGGTTTTGGGGGGCGCTTTTTATGAAAATGATATCCAATTTGAGATTGGGACCCCCGGGCCTCGACTTTTTTTAACTTTTGGGATTAAATCGATATCAGGGTCGACTTATAGGTTTCGGGGGGGCGCTTTTTATGAAAATGATATCCAATTTGAGATTGGGCCCCCCGCCCCCGTTTTTTTTTAACTTTTGGGATTAAATCGATATCAGGGTCGACTTATAGGTTTTGGGGGGCGCTTTTTATGAAAATGATATCCAATTTGAGATTGGGCCCCCCGGCCTCGACTTTTTTTTAACTTTTGGGATTAAATCGATATCAGGGTCGACTTATAGGTTTCGGGGGGCGCTTTTTATGAAAATGATATCCAATTTGAGATTGGACCCCCCGCCCCCGTTTTTTTTTAACTTTTGGGATTAAATCGATATCAGGGTCGACTTATAGGTTTTGGGGGGCGCTTTTTATGAAAATGATATCCAATTTGAGATTGGACCCCCCCGCCCCCGTTTTTTTTTAACTTTTGGGATTAAATCGATATCAGGGTCGACTTATAGGTTTTGGGGGGCGCTTTTTATGAAAATGATATCCAATTTGAGATTGGGCCCCCCGGCCTCGACTTTTTTTAACTTTTGGGATTAAATCGATATCAGGGTCGACTTATAGGTTTCGGGGGGCGCTTTTTATGAAAATGATATCCAATTTGAGATTGGGCCCCCCGCGCCCCGTTTTTTTTTAACTTTTGGGATTAAATCGATATCAGGGTCGACTTATAGGTTTTGGGGGGCGCTTTTTATGAAAATGATATCCAATTTGAGATTGGGCCCCCCGGCCCTCGACTTTTTTTAACTTTTGGGATTAAATCGATATCAGGGTCGACTTATAGGTTTTGGGGGGCGCTTTTTATGAAAATGATATCCAATTTGAGATTGGACCCCCCCGCCCCCGTTTTTTTTTAACTTTTGGGATTAAATCGATATCAGGGTCGACTTATAGGTTTCGGGGGGCGCTTTTTATGAAAATGATATCCAATTTGAGATTGGACCCCCCGCCCCGTTTTTTTTTAACTTTTGGGATTAAATCGATATCAGGGTCGACTTATAGGTTTTGGGGGGCGCTTTTTATGAAAATGATATCCAATTTGAGATTGGACCCCCCGGCCCCGATTTTTTTTAACTTTTGGGATTAAATCGATATCAGGGTCGACTTATAGGTTTCGGGGGGCGCTTTTTATGAAAATGATATCCAATTTGAGATTGGACCCCCGGCCTCCCGTTTTTTTTAACTTTTGGGAATAAATCGATATCAGGGTCGACTCTTATGTTTTGGGGGAAGCCCCAAAACTCTCAATCTCAAATTGGATATCATTTTCATAAAAAGCGCCCCCCGAAACCTATAAGTCGACCCTGATATCGATTTAATCCCAAAAGTTAAAAAAAGTCGAGGCCCGGGGGGCCCAATCTCAAATTGGATATCATTTTCATAAAAAGCGCCCCCCAAAACCTATAAGTCGACCCTGATATCGATTTAATCCCAAAAGTTAAAAAAAGTCGAGGCCCGGGGGGCCCAATCTCAAATTGGATATCATTTTCATAAAAAGCGCCCCCCGAAACCTATAAGTCGACCCTGATATCGATTTAATCCCAAAAGTTAAAAAAAGTCGAGGCCCGGGGGGCCCAATCTCAAATTGGATATCATTTTCATAAAAAGCGCCCCCCGAAACCTATAAGTCGACCCTGATATCGATTTAATCCCAAAAGTTAAAAAAAGTCGAGGCCCGGGGGGCCCAATCTCAAATTGGATATCATTTTCATAAAAAGCGCCCCCCAAAACCTATAAGTCGACCCTGATATCGATTTAATCCCAAAAGTTAAAAAAAGTCGAGGCCCGGGGGGCCCAATCTCAAATTGGATATCATTTTCATAAAAAGCGCCCCCCAAAACCTATAAGTCGACCCTGATATCGATTTAATCCCAAAAGTTAAAAAAAGTCGAGGCCCGGGGGGCCCAATCTCAAATTGGATATCATTTTCATAAAAAGCGCCCCCCAAAACCTATAAGTCGACCCTGATATCGATTTAATCCCAAAAGTTAAAAAAAGTCGAGGCCCGGGGGGCCCAATCTCAAATTGGATATCATTTTCATAAAAAGCGCCCCCCAAAACCTATAAGTCGACCCTGATATCGATTTAATCCCAAAAGTTAAAAAAAACGGGGGCGGGGGGGTCCAATCTCAAATTGGATATCATTTTCATAAAAAGCGCCCCCCAAAACCTATAAGTCGACCCTGATATCGATTTAATCCCAAAAGTTAAAAAAAAGTCGAGGCCGGGGGGCCCAATCTCAAATTGGATATCATTTTCATAAAAAGCGCCCCCCGAAACCTATAAGTCGACCCTGATATCGATTTAATCCCAAAAGTTAAAAAAAGTCGAGGCCCGGGGGGCCCAATCTCAAATTGGATATCATTTTCATAAAAAGCGCCCCCCAAAACCTATAAGTCGACCCTGATATCGATTTAATCCCAAAAGTTAAAAAAAAGTCGAGGCCGGGGGGCCCAATCTCAAATTGGATATCATTTTCATAAAAAGCGCCCCCCAAAACCTATAAGTCGACCCTGATATCGATTTAATCCCAAAAGTTAAAAAAAGTCGAGGCCCGGGGGGCCCAATCTCAAATTGGATATCATTTTCATAAAAAGCGCCCCCCAAAACCTATAAGTCGACCCTGATATCGATTTAATCCCAAAAGTTAAAAAAAAGTCGAGGCCGGGGGGCCCAATCTCAAATTGGATATCATTTTCATAAAAAGCGCCCCCCAAAACCTATAAGTCGACCCTGATATCGATTTAATCCCAAAAGTTAAAAAAAAGTCGAGGCCGGGGGGCCCAATCTCAAATTGGATATCATTTTCATAAAAAGCGCCCCCCAAAACCTATAAGTCGACCCTGATATCGATTTAATCCCAAAAGTTAAAAAAAAGTCGAGGCCGGGGGGCCCAATCTCAAATTGGATAACATTTCCATAAAAAGCGCCCCCCAAAACATATATGTCGACCCCGATATTGAATAAATCGGAAAGGTGAAAAAAAAATTGGGTTAAATAAAATAAAAACATTTTTTTTTTTCAAAATTACTCATGGCGTTAAAATTTTTCATGAGTAATTTACTCATGGAGATAACATTTTTCACGAGTGATTTACTCATGAAGGAAAAATATTTCACGAGTAATTTTCAAAATTACTCATGGCTCAGCTTCCAAGAGTGATCACTCGTGACGTCACTGCTCGACATTTACTCGAGTAAATGCCCAACTCTGCTTTCACACACCTAGTGACCCGTAAGACGTAGTGAACCGAGCATGATGAAGATATAAATGTTGGTCTTCCCAAGTTCCAGGCGCCACTTTTTTTCTACGATTTATGCAATTTTCTTGAATTAAGAAAAGTAAAAGCTACGTGCTAAAACTAGGAAAAAAGTTATCAGAAATAAGTTACTAAGATATTTTTTTAATTCTTCCTATTTAGTTAATCTATTAAAAAATATGTTATAAACGTATATCAGGTCTTTAACAATTCTTTTAGCATGGACGTACATTTTACGAGTAGTAAGCAATAGCGTAAGCTTCACTCCAGTTAGTTTCCTAAGGTTAAGCCGTAATAGTTATTGAAAATATATATACTTTTTCAATTTCCTCACTCAGATTTGAGAAAATGATCATTGTGTGCCCTCAATCTTGACTTACAGATTTCTTAAAGTTCGTTTGTGCCAAATTTCTCGCCTTCCAAAGCAGAAACATTGTCGCAAGCTCAACTGCTGTACTATAATGTTTAAAAATGTTTAATGAGAAAACAGTTGTCTATGAGAAAATAAAATAATTGAATGTTGTACAACTAAAATGCTTTAATTTATATCAAAAGGTAAAGGAGAAACATTTTAATAGAGGAGAAAGTTTTTGTATCATTGTATATATCAACAGTTAGTGTAGTCCAGAGTTAATATGTTTCACAATGTAAACATATCGAACGAATAAATTTTTATAAGCTATATCCGTGGTCCACTTGGTTTAAAATGGTTATAATTACGTAATATTCATAACCTGTTAACATATTATATTTTACCTCCTTATCCAACTTGAGTATCCTATCGTCAACTGTAGGAGCTAATAAACAGTTTGGCCTTTCTAAGTCGTCTAGTGAAGCTCTGCGTGTAAGAGAATTACATTTTATATTCTTAATATTTCCTTTTCTTAATGGATGCGGCCCATCTAAATCTCCTGCATCCAAACATTTTACTAAGGAGTGCCTAAGGAACATAATATATATTAAAATACATTATGGTGGGCTAAATTAACAAATATAAATATACCAAAGGTCTGTCAAATGTATTTTTTTTTTAATGTCAATTGAATTCAATCAAGAATATTATCATGAATATGAATATTAAAGAAACGTAAACAACGTTCATTAAAAGAAACAATATATTATAAGAAACTGACAAATTGATACATTCTGACATTGGTCTGTTTAACAATTTTAATGACAACATTAATATATGTATGTATGTATGTATGTATGTATATATATATATATATATATATATATATATATATATATATATATATATATAATGTTTGAAAATGTTTAATGAGAAAACAGTTGTCTATGAGAAAATAAAATAATTGAATGTTGTACAACTAAAATGTTTGAATTTATATCAAAAGGTAAAGGAGAAACATTTTAATAGAGGAAAAAGTTTTTGTATCATTGTATATATCTATTATATATATATATATATATATAAGTTAGCTGTGTATAAGCCATAAACAATAATAAGAACTGTGTTACTAATAAGATTAACAAAGCATTGTAAATGAAAACAAACCGTTGCTATATATATCGGATAAAGTAAATAATAAAGTCAGTTGCTCACGAACCTGTGTACTGTTACTATGCCCTAAAACCCTTTTTTTTTCGATCAGTCTTTCAGTATACATATATATTCATTTGCATTATTGTTTAGTTTTAAAGCTCTCTTTTCCTTTGAGACAGATTTATATTTTTTAATAATATTTTTTAGTAATATTTTTCAACAGATAAGTTTAAAAAAAAATAAATAAACAAAAAATATTGATATTACAATCTGTCTCAGTTAAGGACACTTATAATAGAGTTAAGAGACTACATTCATACCGTATATACAGAAACATAAATAAATAAAGTAATAACAAAAGGATAAGAAAAAAAGAACAAAAAAAAAAAAAAATATATATATATATATATAAGTAAGTAAAAATAGAAATAAAAGTAAAACAAACATCTTAGATACAAGCATACCTTTATACACTATGTTTCTGGTTCAAAGAAGGAAATACATAATTTTCTTTCACACAGAATATTAATGGATTAAAATTAAGAAAAGTCGAAAACAGCTGGTTTACAAAATAAGTATTCTTCATGTTGACTATCCTTTAGTTAATAACTTATCAAAAATGAACAATACTTCTTGTTTACTTTTTATGTTTACCAACAAATAAGAGAATCCCTTAGAAACAAACAAAGGGTATTTTAACTAAAACACATAAAATAAGCATTAAATAGAAATATCCCTATTCATTTTTGAGCAGTTTATATGTATATGCCCATTATGACGAATTCCTGCAATACTTTACCCAAAACTTTTATCATATCATAGCAATATCCGAAACCTGGCTTAAACCTTATATTCCATCATCTTCAGTATCCTTGCCGAATTATATCCTGCTCCGTCATGACCGGGTAAACCGGACTGGCGGTGGAGTAGCCATGTTTGTCCACAATAGCCTAAAGACCCGAATCCTCGATTGCTCCCCATCTTCCGATCATCCTCATGTAGAATATCTCTTAGTAGAAATTCGCAGTAATATTTCTCCTATCCTTTACGCCGTGGTATATCGCCCTCCTCTCGTGCCATTTGACCCGTCCTTCGAATCAACTCTATTCAACTTCGTTCCCCTCTATCCCAGAATAATTATCTCCGGTGACCTCAATACCAATTTCCTCTCAAAATCCAATGACAAATCCTATTTAGAAAATCTGTTTTTCTCACTTCACCTATTCATCGTTCCTTTTTCCTCCACCCACCACACCAGCAGATCTGACACTTGGCTAGACTTCTACATCATCGACTCAGCACAAAACCTCCTCTCCGCCTCTCAAGTGCCAGTATCCTTTCTTTCATCTCATGATCTGATACAAATAACGTATAATATCCGCACTCCTCCAATCCATCCTCGAACTATCACTTTCCGCCAACTGGATACCCTTACTCGAGAAAAAATATTACCTGATCTAGTAACATTGGATTTAAATGGAATATATCATTGCTCCTCTGTCGACACCATGGTTGATATTCTCACCACCAATCTTCTCAATATACTCAATACCCACGCTCCTCTCAAAACCTCCACTTTCCGTCATCGTCCTGCTCCTTGGATGTGTCAGGAAATTAAGGATCTGCAGAAGAGACGCGACGCTGCACGCAGACGCTTCAGACGGACTAGGCTTGCAGATGATTATCAAATATTCAGAGTGCTTCGCAACACGACACAGACAAGGATCCGACAAGCGAAAGCGAACTACTTTCACGAAGCCCTTTCCTCAGCTCCTGATATCAAATCAAAATGGCTTCTACTTCGTAAGCTTTCCCTCTGTGAACCTTCTAGATCCCCTTCCTCAGTTTTCCCAATATCACCTGATGACCTAAACTCCCACTTTATATCGGTTTCCACCTCTTCGTTACCATCCCCTTCCGGCTTTTCTCCAGAGGTACCTTTTAACGACAATAATTTTTATTTTTCCGACATTTCTCCCACAGACCTTATTACCGTTATAATGAAATCCCGTTCCAATTCCGTAGGCCCAGATGGCATTCCTATCAAACTAATAAAATTATGTCTCCCTGAAATCCTCCCAGCACTCCTTTTCATCTACAATTTCTCCCTGCAGAATTCAATATTCCCGACCTCTTGGAAAAAAGCCATTGTCCTTCCTTTAAACAAAAAGCCTAATCCATCCTCTCCCGAAGATTTCCGCCCAATATCAATCCTTTCCAATCTTTCTAAACCCCTAGAAAAGTTGGTGCAATCCCAAGTTTCCAACTTCCTTGAACAATCCAACCAACTCGATCCTCTCCAATCTGGCTTCCGTCCTGGCTACTCTACACAATCTGCTCTGATTAAAATTACTAGTGATATCCAGACTGCAATAGATGACAAAAAACTAACCATACTTATACTTCTTGATTTCTCTAAAGCTTTCGATTCCATTATCCATTCCATCCTTTTCAACAAACTAAAATCATTATCCTTCTCCAAGAGTTCCATCTCTTGGTTCCAGTCTTTCCTCTCACAACGAACCCAAGCAGTTTCCATACCTAATCAACCTCTATCTGCCTACCTTCCTTTATCCTCAGGAGTTGCACAGGGTTCAAGCATGTCTCCTCTTCTTTTCAGTTCTTATATTAATGACCTAAATGATACAATTATCCATTGTTCCCACCACCTTTATGCCGACGATTCTCAAATCTATTTATCCTTTTCTCCCGCTGAGTTATTGGTGGCATTTGCCAAAATTCAAGAAGATTTAGATCGAATTAATGCCTGGGCCAACTTAAATGGATTAAGGCTAAATGCTGCCAAAACTCAGGCCATTCTCATTGGTTCCAAGCCCCTTCTTAGATCCCACACCAACTTTCCCTCACTCTATCTAAACAACCACCCCATCACCTTCTATCCCTTTGTTAAAAATTTAGGCTTTCTCATAGATCAAACCCTTTCCTGGAATCACCATATCTCTCATATATCCCGCCGTGCAATTTCTACCCTCAAACTATTCCATCACTTCCGCCATCTTCTACCCCAAAATACCCGTAGACTCCTAGTTTCCTCTCTCATCTTTCCCCACTTTGACTACAGCTGTGTGGTGTACGATGGCCTCTCGGTGGAACTGCGTGATAGACTCAAAAGACTTATGAATTGCTTCGTAAGATTTGTAATCGGAACCCCGAGACGCTCCCGTGTCTCCCACCACTACACTGAGTTAGGGTGGCTCTTCCCCTCCTTAAGAAGACAATATTTCCTTGGCACTTTCCTTTATCAAATCATTACCGATCATCGTCCTTCTTATGCCTACAACCTTCTCCAATTTAAGTCCTCAATCCATTCACTCACTACAAGATCCCGACCCTCCGACCTATACATCCCTTCTCATAGATCTGCCTCATTCCAAAATTCCTTTATAGCCCGCTCTGTCAACTTTTGGAATTCCCTCCCGATCAAAATTCGACATGCCCCTTCCCTGTACACATTCAAAAACCTCCTATTCCAATTCCTGTTCCAAAAACAGTCAGATACCAGCTAACGATTAATATTATACATGTATTGTGTAGCAATCATGTAATCATAACACTTGGTAAGAGATAGTACATGCATTTCCTACTATCGACGTAGGAATTTCAATACATAAATTTTTTTGTATTTTTTTTTTTTTATTCAATTATAAATAACTGTTTATTTTCATATATATATTCAAGTAAAGTTTTTTTTTTTTTATGAAATGAACTCATTGTATCTCTTTTTCGTTCTTCATTTCTCAAAGTGTATGTTTATGTTGTTCAACCCTTAAATATAATTTTGTTCATAGTTCAAATGATTCGTTCATAGTTTTAATTGTTTTATTCATAATTTTAAATGCTCTGTACATAGTTTTATCTGTATTGTATATAGCTTGTGCACCTAAGATTTCTTTACTTTTTATTTTATTTTATCAATTTTATTTATTGTTTCAACGTTCAGGCCAGTAATATTCTATTATTTTGTACATTATTGTTATTCTGAAGGGACTTAGTCCCAGAATAAAGTTTCTTTTTCTATCTATCTATATATATATATATTTGCAAGTAGTGGTCCAGGTGTCAATCGTACAATACTATTCGCCATTGTAAGTTTCTCCAGGATTTAGGAAGCTGTAGCTTCAAACCAAAGGAAGTTCTACTGCTTCTCCTTAGTCAAGACGCCAACCAGAACGTCTATTGTTATCGTAAAGTATCCACTTTTCATCACAAGTAACAATTCTGGACAGAAAAAGGTCGGTTTTGTTTCGGTAAAGAAGTGTGCACAAAGTTTTTTTTGGGCGATCGTTTAATGTGTGTGAAACCCAACCTTCAAGCTTTTATATCCTTTCCAATCGCCTTGACGTGGTCATCGACGGTCTATTTGCTAAGGTTAATTTTTTCTAAAAGTTCTCGAACAGTTTTTATATCTTGTTTTGAGTTTCTTCCATCAAAGCCCGCAGAACATCGTCATCAAGAGAGGAAGTTCATTCACGACCTTCTTTGTCTTCATGGCTGAAGTCTTCCTCCCGAAATTTTTTTAACCATTGTTGAACAGTGCATTCATTAATGCTGCTCTCGCCCCAGACTTGATTGATGTTTCTGGTAGTATGGGCCCCATTGCGGCCGAGTTTTAATCTGTAAAACAAACATTACGAAAACCAGGCGTTGACATTTCACTGATTCATTACTAAGCAGCTAAATCCTACAGAGGTAAACAAACACTATCGTTTGGAAGAGGATTAAAAAGTTTTGACATTCATACAAATGAATAATCCAGTAAACTTAAACAATTTCTTATATAGAGTGGTATTTTAAAGAAAACTCAAAGGCCCGTAAATGCCGAAACTTTTATAGGATGATAGGAAATTCAATTCTGTGTTTTTTTAAGTAACACATGTTTTTTGTCAAATAGGAAACGATAACTAAAGAAATATTTAGTTTATGTAATTAAAAATTGCTTCACTGTAAACCGGACGAAATTTAGGTCAAATTAAAATAGAGTTAGTCATTGTTCAAACCAGAATTGGGAAAAAATCATCTATAGCTAACAGCTAAATTAGCTTTTAGATAAGTTAATAGTTAATTTAGCTATAGCTAAAAGTTAGCTGTTCGTTTGCGCTAATAGCTAATTTAACTGTATAGTTAACTGCGATAAAACAGTTAGAAGCTAAATTAGCTCCATCTTTAGCGCCGCTAATTTTAGCTGTTTAGCTGAACGTTAGCTAGTTAAAAATTAGTTCGCTAACGCCCAACTCTAGTTCAAACCATATGAAGAAGACGTATGTGCGGCTAAACTAAGCTAAATACAGTTTTGAAAAGTCATAAATCATTCGCGATTTTATTTTATCATCAACCAACTACACTGCAGATACCCCACTTTTTAAAAAACTTCTTCGTTTAATAAGCTTTTAGTCCATATTAATTAAGATTAAATTTATTAGGTAAACATTTAAGATCCACCTCCAGTTGTGTAAAGAAATCATGTGATTTTTTATCTTGTCACCTAAAAGTAATGTAGTAAAACGAAGTACTGTAGCAACACACCCGTGTTGACCTACAATTAACTGTTGCAAAGCTTCTATTTCTTCTTTTTACATGATCTTGGGTGTATTATAATTAACATAATTGAGTAAATACAATTAAACAAAATTAAAAAAAGAAAAATAATGATTTTTCAAATTTTTTTTGATTTTTATATTTACATTAATGTGGTAATGTAATTGTATTTTTCTCTCAGATCTCTTTCATAGGAGTTGATCTTTATTCAGAAGAAGAAATACAACATTGCACGGCTGCTCAACTGTGCTGAGTTGCTAAATAACACAGCATACTCATCAATCAATCAATAGATAATTCTGTAAACAAATATAAGAGAGAGTTAGGTCGGGCCATTGGAATACATATCAGATATGCCAAGAACGGTTTATAGGATCATATAAGCGAAGGCTTAGATGAATATATGTGGTGATGGCGGATACCAAACGAGTCTAAAATAATTGTTTCTGTCATGGTCTGAATCTGCTCCCTTCCACCACCGATCTTCTAACTTCCAACCAAAGATGGACAAATGCTACTCTGTACTCAGAGTACCGGGGTGTTTTGCTCAAATACTGACTTTTATTTAGTACCGAAGAATTTAATTACATCTTCAGTTGATGTCAACAGATTAACTGAGGTAGTGATTAAATATTCAATAGTGATACAATTCGAGTAAAACATGTTGTGCTCGGTACTCAGACTAGGATTTGTCCCCCATCTCTGCTTCCAACCCTATAGTAACAGGAAAAATAAATAAATAAAAAGTGTATTTAGACAATTACGTTTATTATATTACATCCTAAGTCATAGTAAAACAAAGGATAAAAGATTTGCTGTAAAAACTTTTTGCTGAAAACACGGTTACTTGTCGGTGACTAGTTAAAAAATCGCATCATTTTTTTTACACATCTTGAGGGGAATCTCAAATTCTCCCCCCCCCTAATAAACCCCAACTTAACTAATATGACTTAAACCTTATTAAACGAAGATATTTTTCTAAAAGTGGGGTATTTGTAGTATATTTGAATGTGCTTTAGTTATTTCTTTAGTTATTGCTTTCGATTCAATAAAAAACATGACTTACTTAAAAAAACACAAAATTTAGATTTCCTACTTATCTGCTGAAAATTGGCCCATTGTTTATATGAACTTTTTTGTAGCGCTTGAGGTCTGCTAGCACTCCTATAAAAATTTCACTCTGCTTACGGAATAGCCTGCATATTGGTCACTTAAGAATTTGGAATCTTCCAATTATATTCTACATAAATTACAATACTTCAACTGGCAGTTAATTTATGCAAACGTTCAGTTCTTACCTGAAAATACTGCTAGAAAAGAATAAATATTAATATTTATTAAATCATGCTACGTTTTGTAAGTATTTATTTGTACTAAGAGTTAATATGATTGTGAAAGCAAGATAAAACATTAGAATATATTTATGATAGTAAAATATGTAATTTCTTACCTTCTAGAAAGAGTGACTAGGCTCTGACGATGTTTGCTAACCCTCCTGCACTTACCTAAGCGCATCTTTATTGCCTCAAAGTGATTCTGTATTACGATTCCAAGCTCAGGGCAGGACTCCTCATCTACCTGCGGAAAAATATTTTATAAAAATCAATCATTTTGATGAAAGAAGAATGATCTTCAGTGCCACTACGGATTCTACATTTTTTTATTTTCCGAGTGGATTAATTGATTAATAGAGTTCAGGGTCAAAATGTACTATGACCAGTACATGTCAACTATCAGCTTACTAATGTATGTGGAATGCAGTGTTGTATTCCATTCACCACAATCTGCTAATTGGTGGTTCAGTTAACTTTAAATAGAAAAATTATTCTCGATTAGTTAACATCAAGGCACCGTAATCCTGTCAGATAAGTTTAAGTATATCTCACTATACTTACATATGTTTATTCCTTTTTTAGAGGCCTATGATAATATTATAGATTTAAAATAAAAATTCTCCGGAGACGGCAGTAGTACGAATTCAGAATATACAAACTTCCCACAAGTTTTGTATCGTTGTATCTATTATATTTGTAATTTTGAATTTTTACTTCATATTGAATGTAAAATAAAGTTCTAAAAATAGAAATCATTTAAGGATTTTTAAATGAAGAATGAGGTGATATATGAGATTTGTAAGGAGTGATATGAGTTGGGAAACAAGGAATTTGAAGTCGGCGAGAACAGATGCCAATACACTGGTGGTTCTCTCTCATGGCATAGAGCACAAACTACGGAAACGTGTGTTGGTATGGTGCACTCTACAAATCATGGTGTTCACCGAATTTAACTCAAGACCGCAAGCGGTAGCAATAAGCCTTAGTGTGACCTGACAATTGTGGCACTTCAAGAATTCCCTCTTGGGGTATGGCTTCTCTATCTTCACGATAGTGTAGTACAATCTTTTGATTTCATATATTTTCTCGATACCAGTTGATGGTTCTAGGTTCACGAAAAATAAAAGTAGTGGAACTTTATTTTTTTACTCCTGGCTGCTCCTTATTCTGCACTGAAACGTAGGTTACCTGACGTACTTTGAATACAAGCGTCGTTAGTTCTTCTTTTATCACTTAGTCGGGGTTGAGGAGTGCACATTTCTTATCACTACTCGTAACGATCTCTCCTGTTTCAGCTGGTACGTGTGAAAATTAGCATTCGTTTCTAACAGGTACTTCACAATTTTTCGGTAGGTTTCGGCAGTATCTGGTGTTATTTTTGTATCGTTGGTCCTGTTGAGGCAAGAATAACTGCCGGAGCAGATTTCGTTTAGTTGTGTACACAGTAGTTGGAAATGTTTGATATTTTTTACAAATATCGGAGGAGGCCTTGGTTCCCTGGGTATTGCTGCTGACTCCATTACTTCTCTGTCATTCTAAAGCACTTTTAACGGGTTTAGGGTAAAGAAAGGGGAAAGCCGTACCTGGTTAATGCTGAGGTTCTGGTTCTGAAGTATTCACTGTGGTCATTGGAGATGATTCTCGCAGGCATCGAAAATATACGAGTTCTTTGCTTGACTGGTGAACCACGAGAGTAAAGTCGTCTGACCGAGTCCTCTTAGTTGGCACCTTACTGAACATCACTTGATGATAATACCGCATATCATAAGAGAAGAAAAAATAAATAAAAAAAGATATCAAACAGTAAACTGCTCTGATATATACTTGAACTGTATTCATTGAATAATCAGAGAAATTCCGCTGAAAAATAGCCAAAAACTGAAAGACGAGTTGAGAACACAACCTTCGCATTAGCTGATCCACTGCCTTCTCAGTTACGAATATTAAATACGCCAGATCAATTTATTTTACCAAAGCCTCGCACATATCTATGTAAAATTGATTTTGGCTGCTGGATACTTAAAAAGAATCAGTTAGGTGCATTTGAGTCAGTTTGTTTCTTTTCAGTCTAAATTGATGCTCATGCCCAGCTAACGAAAAAATAAATAATAATTACTATAAAAAAGTGATACCTTAATTATGCAATATACTTTAGAAAAGTCACAAGTCAAAAATTACAAAATAGAGAGAAAGAGACTGGAAAATTGAGAAAAAAATGTATTAAGACTTTTATGTATTAAGAATTTTCGAACCACAACAAAAATCCTAAATCCTAACTACATTTCCCATCCCCTCCGACGAGATGATGGCTCCTGGGCAGCATCTGACGAAGATAAAGCTGAGGAGTTCGGCATTCACCTATCCAATACATTTATTTCACATCCGGAATTCCATCCTGCCCACACCGTAACAGTATTAGAACTCCTTACATCACCAACCCCACTTTCCTTGCCCCCAAAAGCTATTCATCCTTCTGAAGTGAAATTTCAATTTAAACAACTAATCCCCCGTAAAGCTCCTGGACATGATCTCCTTACCCCTCAAATCCTTCGACAACTTCCATCCAAAGCAGTCATATTCCTTACAATATCTACATGCATCCTACGCACCACCCACCTTCCTCTGTTATGGAAATACTCCACTATTATCCTTTTCCCAAAACCAGGCAAACCTCCCAATAGCTCAACATCCTATAGACCAATTAGCCTACTCCCAATCCTTTCAAAAATTTTTGAAAGATCCTTGAAACGAACCTACCCATTATAGAATCCCAAAATATTCCTTCCCATCAGTTTGGTTTTCGCTCTCAACATTCTACTGTTCAACAAGGACTCCGAGTTGTTGATCATATTTCCTCAGCCCTAGAAAACAAGGAATACTGTTCGGGTGCATTTCTGGACATTGCACAGGCATTTGACCGGGTATGGCACTCCGGACTGCTCTTCAAGCTTAAAATCCATTTACCTCAGTCCTTGTACCTAGTCCTCCGATCCTACCTCTCTGACCGCTCCTTTCGAGTTCGCTGTGGAACAGAATTTTCCAATATCTACTCCGTTAAAGCCGGTGTTCCCCAAGGCAGCGTCTTGGGTCCCGTGCTTTACATCCTCTTTACTGCTGACATCCCTGTTCATCCCGATACTTTTCTTGCAACATTCGCTGACGACACCGCAATCTTATCATCCAACTCTGATCCCGAAATAGCATCCTTAAATCTCCAAAGCCACCTCACCTTGATTGAGCACTGGTGTAATAACTGGCGCATTAAAGTTAATGAATCTAAATGCCAACATATTACCTTTACACTCCGACGCAGTTCCTGTCCACCAGTACACTTTAATTCCATCCAGCTTCCTTACTCAGACACAGTCCGGTATCTTGGCTTTCATTTAGACCGAAGACTAACGTGGAACCCACATACTAGACTCAAAAGACAAGAACTCAACCGACGATACGGCCAGCTATACAGACTACTAAACAGAAAATCCAAACTTTCTATTGAAAACAAATTACTTATCTACAAGACAATACTGAAACCTATATGGACATACGGACTTGAACTGTGGGGGACAGCAAAAGCTTCTAACATCAAACGTATTCAATCCTTTCAATCTAAAGTCCTTCGAACAATAGTTGATGCTCCGTTCTATGTAAATAACAAAATCCTACACCATGACCTTAATATCCCATTTGTCCTAGACCTTATTCCAGAAAAATTCTCCAAATTTCACCAGAACCTTACCTATCATCCAAATCCCCTTGCACAATCTCTATCCAGCACCACCCATCCTTACAATCCTCCTCGAAGGTTGAAGCGGCAGTGGCCCAGAGACCTTTTGTGAATAAGCATATATTGGAGTTTTGGCAATGGCCAGATCCTCCAATCAAGCCAAGTATGTGTGATTATAGCGCCTCTCCTCAGCCTCTACTGGTTCTTAATACCAGTAATGCGGCTCAGTGCGAGGCGCTGGGATCTCCTAGAGTCCTGCCTTTCCTTCCACGAGTGGGGTGAAAGGCTTGGCTCGGAGTTCTTCTGAGTGAATGGATTCTGTAAATATTGTATAGTATGCATGTGTTTTAGTTGTTATTTTGATTAGGTTAGTTCTTTTGTTTATATACATTTATTTTTTATTATTATTAGTTTCTGTATTATTTATTTTATTTATTGTAAATAGAGTGTGAGTGTGCTCTCTGAACACTATTATAAATGTCCTTGATTGTGACAGAATGTAATATTTCTAAATAAATAAAAAAAAAGAAAGAATTTTCGAGAAAATTTGAATTATATTGCTATAGTAATATTTGATATTTTCAAATTGTTGATCTGTTTTTCTATATCACTAAGAAAATAATTTTGGACTTGTGATCTTTCTGAAGTGCACAAAAAACATTCAATTATTTAATGGAAATATTTTTTCTTACCGGTTTTACAGTGAGAGTCTATCCATATGTTTAGGCAACTTTCCAAATTTAATTAAAGTAAAGGCAAGTAACTGTAATGAGTTAACTATAGGCGACATTCGACTTATTTTGGCAGTGGACTGTATTTTGATTAGGGTAGGTTATATGAATTGTGTAAAATGCACTTAGGCTTTTATGCTGACACAGACATCTTAGTTAACTGAGAGGACCCTCCAGTCTGCTCCAGCTGCTGTATTTGGGAATATCAGCTTAGGAATGCGGCTAGTGCGCCTGGTAGCTGGCGCGGATTAAATTTTATCACTACTCGCCGCAACGCGACAATCAGGTATAATTTACACAGTTTATACAAAACATATCCCCCACTGTGAAAAACATCATTTCACAAACAAAAAACCAAACTCATTGATTGGTAATTACCGGGCAAGACACAAACGAGAGGATAATTGCTTAGTTTGCAATAAAGAAAGAGATACATTATTTAAAACATATTTTTGGAAAATTAGAAATAAAAGTGAACCAGATCAAAGATAGGGTAATAAATTACAATTCATTTAAAATAAAATGGCTCCTCATTAAATTTAAGCAAAAAAAATATACATATCAATAAAAGGTTTCTCCAGAAGAAAGAGGCACCAACCTTTGCACTGGTTGCACCAAAGTGGCTGTAGCAGTACGTAATTATACCACCCTAACTACACTGTCGGGCCATGGAAGTGTCTCTATTAGTCTGTGGGCCAGACCCCCTTACCGTGCACCCCCCCCACATCCCTATAAATTGCATATCGTTGTGTTCCTTGTAACAATTTATTAAAAAAAAGCCAATGT